TGGCGGCAGCTGATTAATTGGAAGGTATAAAAACTTGATTATAAATGATAGTTATATACCATATATAATATTATAGTAGGTACTGAATATATATATATATATATATATGTGTGTGTTCTCGGCGAACAATAAGGTTATGAAGATTTTTTAGATCAACATAAATATATATGTATATTTAAGTAATAACAATGACTATAGTTTTAATGACTTTGAAAACGTGAAGTTGCGATCGGGGTTTTGGTTTAAGTCTCTCACGATTGCTGCCATAATTTGTGAATCTATAAATAGTCATATTGTTAAATACTTAAGTAAAAAAGAAATTAATGCTAACAACAATTTGACTATGGAAAGTTTTAAGGATAATAAAAAAATCTATTCACATTTAATTTTTTTGAAACATTACTTATGTTCTTTGTATAAACAAACATACTCAAATATAAACATGTAATAGCTTATTACAATTAATATACCTATATTATAAAAAAAATGGTTGATAAATTTTATGAATTAACTTGAAATATAGGTCACAAGTCCATTGTTGCCGTTCAAGGCCGAAGTTGCATTTACACAAAACCGACAAAATTGGTTTAATGTGGCCAAACTCATAAATATGGTTTTTTTTCTGCTCGATTGTTCTTGGCTGGACTGTTGTGTACTTCCTGATTTAAATTTCATTTAGGTTGGATTTACTTGATGTCGATCCAAACTTTGTTTAGCTAATAGGTATAAGGATAATTAATGTCTTCTAATAACAAATGATATACTTTTAATGCTACAAAAGGGGTAGTGTACAATATAGAAATATTCTTGACAATGACCCTTAACTTTTTATAAATTAAATCGTTGCTTTGATATGCTTCAATTATAATATGCAAAAATTAGGTACCTAACCTGAAATAAATTTTTTATGGTGGTAGTAGGTTCTGAATATTTAAACGTATCTCTCCGATAGTCCGCCTAAAAAGCTGTTACAGATTTAAGAATTCCTCCTAAGATACTTAACAATCAGAAAATCGATACCAGGAAACATACTCGTGGTTCATAATCTATAATTGAAACTACTTTCTCAGATTATATTATAAATGTATATAAAATACATTAAGCACAAGTAAATCGAGAGCAAAACCCAAAACTAATTAATATGCATTTTTTGTCCTCGAAAAGCAATCGTCTGTGGGGCAGCTGCGCGACGCGTGCCAGACTCACGAGCGGACCCGAAAGTAGCCGATAGTTGGCACGTTGTTTTTTCATTTTCAAAACGATATATAATTTATTGCACTAGGCCTATATTTCTTAATGTTTATATTTCAAAATAAATATTTTAAATGAAAAATTAATAATAAATGATGTGAAAGAAAACAATGCTAAGTACCTATATCATGCATAAGTGCATACCAATTGTATGTTATGTCGTTTTTAATATATTCAATTAAAAATGCTTTACCAATTCCTTTGGATCAACAAAAAGTCAGAATAAAAACTTTTGCAAACGGATGTAGCATATAGTACATGAAACAATTATTGATGAATAGTCGTGTGCATAAACGAAACTACGTGAATAAAAGTGTATATGTATGCACACCTGTAGGTAAACGCTTCCGTCGCATCTAGTCAGGCCCGTTCTTAAAGAGCAACAAGTTCAAGCAATTAATAACACCAACGGAAATATCCACCCATAATGGCCCGAGCTTCCCTTCAATTATCAAAAATTACTATTGCGATTTGAATTCGCTGGGCGGGAGCTACGTGATCATGTTGCAGCCTCATTGTCTTTCTCAAATTAAATGTTATATTGACGTGAAGGCCCCCTTTTTGTGTTTCGTTATATTCGCGTTCGTCATATGATATGCAGCACGTGCACCTTTTGTTATTAAAATTTTTGCAACTGATTTTACTCTCGTTTTCACAAACTAGTTTTTACAGATCGGGCGACATTTATATTTTTAATGAACAGTATTAAATGAATATTTATAGATTTATGGTTACATTATTATACCAAAGCCTTTATTTGGCGGTTCGGTGGAATGATTGATGTATCGTGAATGTCTCGACTAGATCAGTTTCGACCGGAAATTAAAGCGAATGCGTTTAAATTGATGAAGTCGGCAGTACTGACAAACTTTTAAATTGTTTATCATTACAAGGAATTGATTATAATCATTATTATATGACTCTGTCAATGAGTAATTGAGATTTAAAAATGTGTTATACAATAAGTTGTAGCAGTCATTTCCTCTTACTAATTTTACTTTTTTTTGCCTTAATAAGTCTAACATCACATATTTTAATATACTACTGCGTAATACAAATTCCTTTAAAGTGATTTTGATTTTGTTGATCTATGTTATAAGTTATTTTAAATAAAGTTATTATTATCTTTATTTATAGATTATTATTATATAAGTATAAAGTTAAAAATAACTTATTTTACAAAAATTCATAAGAACAAGCAATTGCTTTTTTGAAGAACCTTTGAGATCATAAATGTAATTACATCTTTAAAATATAATTTTTTAGAAGATACATACTTGCATTTTATTTTATTTTTCCTTTAAGTTTGCTAAGACTTTGACTTTGTTTTTGACTCTCATATCCATCCAATTGTAAAGTTATATTATATTTACATACTCTACTTTTAACCTTTTAAATCGATTCAACTATTTAACCCTCAAAATATTAAGGGCAGAGATAAAACTACGGTTTTAGAATTTTACTCCCCTATTCTCGTCTGCCAGCGATTATAATTAATGAAAAGTAAGTGCAATTTAAATCAAAATAAAGTATGATCTACATATGTACTAATGAAAATCATTGAAATCATTAAACATAAATGCAGTTTTATGTATTTATAAGCATGGAAAGTACATAGTAGTAGAATTCTGTCATTAGTAAATCAATGTATTTTTGTTCTAGACAAAAAAGTGTAATAGTAAAATCTACCAATAATAGAAAAGAAATTGTGAGGTCTATGTTATGTATAATCGCAATCAAATTCATTAAATTCTTATACATTTACAGTCGTTAAAGTTCCGTTTTAATAGCCTTTAATTGTCTAGTTAAGGGCCAAGAAGTCAGTTTATTATATAAATGAGTGAGTTAGTCTTTGTGTCGTCAATTAAAGGAAGTTTTGTTCATGCCACAATTGAGACATTTGTTATTTAAATGAATATTATTTAATAAAAATAAAAGAAACGACATTATTCTTTTTAAATATTTTATGTAATAAATTTACAAGGTTAACCTCGCAGCTATTCGCCGATGGGTTTTTTCAACAAATACTTTAAAAAATCTTAAGTTATTAGGAATCTTTCTTAAGGTACTACATTTATCTATATACATTAAGTCTTTGTCTCAACATAATAAACGTTAATGTCAAGTATAACACATTTCTGAATCTCTATGATTTAAGTGAATGATGTGTATGTGCTCTAAGTAAGCTTTGTTAACTATGCGTGACATAAATCTATAATATTAACTAATGACTAGATACAACATTAAAACTTAACCATATCTATATATAATTGGAAGCTTAAGATAAAATTACAAGGCACAGCGTGTTCAAGTCTTTTACGATACAGTTAAATGCTTAAATGGAAGGATTTACATTTCAGTCTTGATGCTATCTCATTCATGTATGAAACTGAGTTCGGTTGCTTGGTTGCTGGGAATGTATAGATGGGTTCGCCATATTCCATCATTATCCTTCGCATTAGGAATACACTGATTGCGCTAATTAGAGGTTCTCTCCTCCATCATTCCGATTCTTCGCGACTCGAAGAGAATTCCTTTTTTCACAATCACCAAGCCGCTGAGTGACAGCACTTTGATCCGTATGGCCACAATACCTGGAAGTAATAATTTAATTTAAAATTTATCTTTATGATAAACGTACAACGATAGTGATATGAATATTGTACTCATAAATAAATTTTAATTCCCATGAAATCTCAATTGGTATCACCAGATGTTTGTTTAGTGCTTAGCAAATATTATAACACGTGTGCGAGTGCCCTTCGATTTCCCTAAGATTTCAACTTCCGCTATAATAAATTAAGAAGGCTATTTTTTTTTAGCACGTTGTAGTGTTGTTTTTTTCAATGGCGCTACCAGTTTCAAGTTGACCTAAAGTGCTTCATATGGCGAAGATGTGTCGACAGGTCCCACTGACCGGATGCTTTATATTGATTTAAGATAAATAAACAAAAGTTGCAACTGAAACCTGTTTCCACTTATAACAAATCTGATCAGGGACCTGTTATTATTAGAATACACAACTTTTTATGTGCAATTTTCTCACTACATGCGGGACGAACCACAACGTTATTAGAAATAATTGTTACTTTGCTAGCATAATAATAAGGTTCCATGCGGGTCCTATTGAACATATTGAACCTGATTTTGCTTTAAAAGCTTTAGAAGATCAAATGAAAAATATACCTAGCTCCTATAAAGTTTTCATAAGCACATATTTTAAGATTCGCTATTGTCAAATATATTTTTTGTTATATCAACTAACAAAGAATAGATAAAGTCTACGAGATGGTTCAATGCGCAACCTTTATAGTATATGTTTACCTTTTGGCTCGTAAAGCAGTGAGTCCCAAATCTCTATTGAAATTGTGCAATATAAAGGTATATATCTAACCCGGTAGGCAACCGTGTCTAACGAAAGGGACAAAAAGCTTAGCATATTTAAAAACTACCTGAGTATTTTATTCAAAATCAAAATATAGATATTAATTAAAAGTAAAGTGTAAATTTTAAAAACGAATGTAAACAGTGTCGCGACAAAATGTAAACAGATTGATAAGAATTTAGAACTATCAAAGCTTTGAAGTTTATATAAACAAACTTAAATATTCATTCACAAAATATCTTATCAGTTTCTTATGGCCTTGTCGCTTATCACGGTCTCGCACGACTTTAATGAGACGAAACTCAAAGTTAACTTATATTTTACTCATAAATGAAAAGAACATTTTGATAAAACTCACCTTAAATCATTGCTGTTGCCACCATGATATAACATCTAATAATTCTTCATCTTCAGGACTCATGGGCTCATAAGAATCATAAGCATCTTGACAATTTGGACCTGTTGAACCCTCTGACAGGAGTGACGGTGCCGGTGAATGGGATTCTTCTGAGAAAGGAGGTGTTTGAGGTCCATTTGAACTCAAGCCCAAACTCATTTGAGCTTCATTGCAACCTTCTTCACTTTCTTCGAGTAATCGTTTAAGGCTTCTTATGTATTCAACCGCTAGTCTCAAAGTATCAACTTTGCTTAATTTTCGTGAAGAACCTCTACCGCCTGCCAAAGCAGCAGTTACAGCTGATGGAATATGTTGTCGAAGAGCAGCAAATCCATTATTAACTTGTTTCACTCTATTCCTTTCCCTTGCATTTCTTCTTGCTACTGAAGCAGGTTGGGTGGGATAGGTTTGATGAAGATAAGATCTCTTTTTGCATCGAGCGTCTACGGGTGCTGGTGCGAGACGTCTAGCATTTTGTAGCTGAGTCAATTTTTGGTTTACACCGAGATTTTGGTAAGCGTGTATCGCCGCCATGGGCATCGCGAGTTAAGAGACTGTCGAGAGTAGGTCAAGAGCGCACGAGTGCGTGCCGCGGAGGTTGCCGGTGGATTGGCGGAGGTGGCGTGCACCCCCACACTAAGTAGCGCGCGCGCAGCGGTGGGGCGCGTGCCGGGCGCGCGCGCACGCACGGGCCGAGTTTCCCCGCTCTCCCCGCACGGCTACTTGTTGCGTTCATCAAAATACGCCGCTTATTATACCATAGAACCAGCAGCTCGAGCCGCTATTGTTGCACGTCGTTGCGTATAATTATCCTGTCCATTACCTTGTACGGGATTTGCCCGTATCTATTTAGAAGTTGTTACGCGAAATACATGCTGTAAATGCCTGGATATTGCTCTTATGTTTTAGAGCTTTAGTTCCCTTAATGAGGTATATTACTATAAGTTTTATTAAGAATAAATGTGAAGCACATAATTGGTTACTGGTTCAGGTGTGTCGTAAATCTCATATTTTCATTTTTAAAAATAAAATTGCGAAAAAGCTTTAGAACTGATAGATTCAGCAATCGACTTTATCAAGTGATTGAAGTTGCTGTATTTTATCCTACTCTTTAAGGGCTAATGGTGTAGATGCGCCTACGCATTAACAGACAGGTGTGTCTAACAGGGTGTCCTAAACTAGATAAATAACTTAAGATTTTTAGCAAAACTTAAAAGAAGAGGCTATTATTCTTAAATGAAACAAAATAAAGACATAATATGCTAATAGTATATACATAACACTATAAACGTTTCTTCCCAGTCAAGTCTTTCCATAGTGTTACCCTCAAAAACCAAAACATAAACCTAAAAAGTGCAATATGTGAGTGTGAATACTTACCTTAAAATATCATTCCATATGAGTGAGTGAGTAGGTCTGTGCTAAATATATTACAAGCTGGTCGGCGTCAGGTTGTAGGCAGGTGTGCGGCGTGTGACATCGTTTGCGCTACGACTTCAGTGACGTCATTTACGAATTACTTCAGTGAAGTTATAATTTGTACCCCAATAATTGTTGGATGACTTGATTAGGTTCTTTGCTTTTATTGCCTACTATTTTTATAAAGTTATACAGTTAAATTAATGTTGTTCTATAATTTCCTACAGGTCAAATATGATGGAATAGATGTATATAGTTGAAATATTATATATTAATTGTATTTTAAGTTTGTTATCAAACGCGAAAACTATCTATTATAAGATTAAAAAATAAAATATATACATGGCATAAGCTATCCACCTGTCCGACTAGGCGGCTTGCTCTACGAAGTAATTTGTGACGTTACATTTCGGACGTTTTGTAAAAGTATTTCAATGAAACTTAAATTTATTTAATTTAATAAAATATGTATAGAAATTATTACTTAGTTTTAATAAAAATAACAAAATGTATTTGAAAAAGGATTTCACTTCACTAGGTTAAAAAAATATACTTTTCCTAGTAGAGTATCTAGCGCCATCTATTTTCAACCCTTAACAGTCAGGTACTAAAATTCATGGTATTGATTTCACCCCCTTGTAGTACCAAAGATTTAGTTTAGATGGCAGTGTAGTATTGTGGCATGGTACAATAGAATACTATTTAACCGATTGAATGAGTGAATGAAAACTTAGAAATCAAAAAAAACTGAATATGTAGTATAAACAAATTATGTAGTATATACAACATTTTTAGTGTTAAATAAGCTTTGGATGAAAAATATTTTAGTCTTGAAGTACCTGAATGCGAATTCTTTTGAAGAGAATTTAATTTGAACAGATTTTTTTCTTGTTCTTAACTTTCATTTTATGAATATTGAGTAACACATCACAATAAAATATAAAAATAATAATGTATTGTTTCGACGTAATTTTCGTTCATAAAAATATAAGCTCATTTCATAAAATATTTTAAAAACACAATAACGAAGTACATCCAAATACAATACGGCAACTTAATGGCGATATAAAACTTGGTGTTGTTAAAATTGATCGTGAACTTGTCTTAAGTATTGATAGCATAGATTACGATACAGCTAACCTCCAACTAAAGGTAACGAGTTAAGCCATTACATGTTCATCAAATAACTGGATGCATTTCATGAACGTGGGGATGTTTGTAGCTTTCTTTGTTTGTTGTAAGTTGATATAAGACTTGTTATTTGACATTCTGATTAGAAAATTTCTGCTTAACAAATACTAAGTTGAAAATTTGTAGAACAAATCGTTATTTGTGCTGAATTAAATCCTTCATGGATCAAGATATATTGACGTTTATTATGAGAGAACAGTTTATAATAAGACCTTTTTGAACTGTTCGATGTGTGTTTCATTATATTTAATTGATTACAAGCCTTTGACTTTGATATGACGTTATTTAGACAATATGTAATTTGATTTTATATTATAATTTAATTTGATTATAATTCCATCTTAATGGAAGGCTGGACATGGCCATCTGAACTCTTTGATTATGCATTTTCTTGGTACCCTTCATTATAATTACGTTGTCATTCGCTGAATTTATCGATATCCTTAATAACCGTGTCCGTTACGCGTCTTCATTCGTCACAGTACGAAAAGTATGATTCCGATCAGCGATATTGTCAAATTTAAGTGCAATTTTAATTAGCCGAAGTTAGTCTTAAATTATATCTTAATTTCTGAATTACAGTTATATAATATTTATTATTTTTAGCTTCTTGGCATAAATTCACTCTACTTCTTTAAATCATAAAACAATAATAGTAAATAAGTTATGATATAAATGACGGAGCGGTGAAAGCGAACACAGACAAACTCCGATTGTCATCTAACAGACGTGCATACAAACTAAATTATGCTTAGTTACAGCTATAATTCCTGCAGTCAGGTAGAGGGTTATTATTTACGAAATAACAATCAGAAATAAAAAACTTGATTATGTATACGATGCATTAGCGAGTACTGTTGGCCATGAGGTTATTTTTAAAAGCCGGGGCCTTTAGAAGTGGATAGAAATGGTATTTTACTACTTACAAGATTTTTTTATATAATATACACTCATATTGTAAATGTTACAAAATTGTATAATTATCGTAATGACACTTTGTTTCGATGGCAACATCTGCTAATAAGCTTTAATTTATTATTTATTTTGTATAAAATTTTGATCTTGAATCCCTAATTTCAACTAGAACGTGACCAGACAGCAGAACCCTTAATTTTTTGATTCCATGTTGCTCTTGAGATATTCATTATAATTTACCTTCACAGCGCTATCGTATAATTCCACGTCTGCTGACACAAGCCTAGTGTTGCCATTTTACAATATATCACAGGAGCACGTTCGCCTCTATAGTGTGTAATTCGTGTAATTTATTGCAAATCTACTGGTAGCTATGGACATACTTAATAGCAGACAACCACGCGACCAATGCATTGGTACAGTCGGGTGTAATTTGCCGTGGGCGTACGTTAAACGACGTCTAAGCTTGATTGTAGGTTAATGTTGATTAATAGCCGTTATGAAGGAATGGAAGCTATTATCGATGTACGCGATTCTGAATATACCATTTTACAGATTGTAAATACAAATAGATACCTTATATTACAAAAACTCGAGAACACAATTTAAAAGTATGCTTCAAATGGTTGTGAAACTTTTAGAAACGTAGATACTTCTAATTCATAAAATAATACATTCAATCTCAATTTGTTGAAAATACCTTTTCAAAAGATTTGTTTATATTAAATAATGTATTTATTATTATAATTATATTAAATTGTGTTGCACAAAACAATAGTTCCAGTTTAGTAACATCATCTCTTAACATATCCCACATCTAAATACTGTCAGTACGCTGTACGCTACACAAGATTCGCATTTTAAACTTTTTAGTGAACACTCAAAACCAAGACATTCTTTGACAAATTTAATACCTAAACAGCAAAAAAGATTAATCCCATTCATTTTCAGAGCTCAACGCTCCTTAATGATGGATTCAGCCTGTCCTCACAATTAAGAATTAATTACTTTACGACATCTCTTTAAGGTTCAGATTAATTTCTTGTGTCATTTTGTTTGATTAAAACCAATTAGATAAGTTTTCGAAGCAAACGTGATATAATTCAAACTGTTCGTCAATTTTTGAATCGGATGTCATAAACTTTGCACATTACGCCTCACTTTGAAAATAACTGGCCACATCATCTTTAAAGTAATGTTTTTAAGTACTTTTTTCAATAAATTCAGTGGTACATTGCATGTTCATTGCATTCGAAGCAGCAAGTGTGAGCATGAAGCTAAAGTCTAATTGGATTAAAATACGATTTAAGATGGAATTTTAAGATTTAATACAATAAAAAACGGAGACAAATTTGAAACAGAACGTATCGTGTTGGTATTTCCAAATGGAGTTGAATTTATTGAAATCTTATTAGCTGTAATTAGTCTGTCGTTGTTTATTTTAAGCAGGTGCAAACAGTCTCTATGATGGACCAGTTTTTGTCTCTCTTTAAAGCTACCGTTGACTTTTTCTTATCGATTTCACAATTTTCCGCATCCCATGCTACACGATCCATTTTGCATAACACAATAATTAATATGATAATTGATATTTCTTACAAAATTTTAAAAGTTAATGAATTATGCATATATTTTAGAAATTTTCAAGCATATACACGATTTTAACGGAATCTTATTAGAATGTGATATAAAATAGTTGATATTTAGACCTATATTATATCGTTTCCGGACTAGTTTGTTACAGTTAGAACTTCGAATAAGAAAGTTCTTTCTAAGATTTCATGCTACACGTGTTAATAATTAGAATTTTTATATGAGACTCAGTTTAAAAATATATATATACTATTAATTCAATAATAATAAATGTCTCAAAACAAATGAGTAGCAAAATAGAAATAGCAAAAATTTATAACATTTAAAGAAGGTAAAAGTTTATGAATTAATATGCGATCTGGTCTAGGCAACAAATCTAATACGCATAGACCAACCTATTGTTACGCCACTACTTCTTATTG